CAGAAAATGGCATTTTCTGTAAGGCACTGAATTCCTGATGGGCTGGGAGGGAAGGCATTCTTCTGCTCCAAGCTCAGGAACACCTTCCACTATCCCAGGGTGCTCCAAATGGGCGCTGCCAGGGAGCTGGGGCAGCCACAGCCGCTCTGGGCACTGCCAGGGATCCGGGGGCACCCCGTGCAGAGCCTGCCCACCCTCCCAAGGAACAATTCCTGCCCAAATCCCAAACGCCATCTCCCCTGTGCCGGCGGGCAGCCCTTCCCCGCTGTCCCGTCAGCCCATGCCCACACAGAATCTCACCGTCCGTGTTTTTCAAAGCGCCCTGACAGCGACTCACCCGCTGGACCTGCGTCTGCAGAGCGGCCGGGTTGTCATAGCAGAAGTAGCTGCCTGCAGGGAGAAGGAGACGCCTCAGGGCTGCGTCCCGGCCCTCACACCCCACACCCCCAAGGGGCCCGTCCCGCACCGAATCCCAGGAAGCACATGAGGGCCAGGACGAGCAGGCGGTGCGGGAGGCGGCGGGGGTCGCAGGCGGCGGGCAGGGCGCGGGGAGGGCCCGGGGAGCCGCCGCCGCCCTCGGCGCCATCGGCGCCCAGCAGCGCCCGCTGCTCCTCCGCCATGGCGCCGCCGCACGTGACCGCCGCACGTGACGCGACCGCCGCACGTGACGCGACCGCCGCACGTGACGCGACCGCCGCACGTGACGCGACCGCCGCACGTGACGCGACCGCCGCACGTGACGTGACCGCCGCACGTGACGCGACCGCCGCACGTGACGTGACCGCCGCACGTGACCCGTTGCCATGGCAGCGGCGGGGCCGGGCCCGCCGGGGCCTCCATGGAAACGGGAGCGCCAAATAAACGTTAAAAACGCGGAAACTGGGAAAAACGCCATTTAAAAAGTTTAATAATAATAAAATGGTTATAAAAGTAGTAACATAATTTTAGTAATAAAGTTTAGAGTTAAGACAATTACAAGACAATAAAAAGTAAAGAATTACATACTTCCGGATTCTCTCGGACACTTAAGTCAGGAAAAGCATGACTTGTGAACAAGGGAATAAGCTTAAATCAATAAACTTGTTGCATGTTCATAAATCCTTCATGGTTATGCATACATTCTATTCTAAACAAGAAACTCTGTCTGTTGTGTGTCAACTGTTTCCTTTAATCCCCTGGCCTCTTTGAGTCTGAGCAAGGCCTGAAGAAATGAGTTTATTCTGGTAAGAATCCATAAATCCCTCTCCTTTGGAAGATTCAGGTGTTCCTCGAAGCGAGTATCTCATCCTAAATAAAAACAACCCCTCACATCCATAGTCTCTATTTTAACATTATGTTGGAACCTAAAACTACATTTAACACACTACTTAAAGAGAATTAACATAACTTTCTAGTATTACACATCTAACATTCATCACAATATTTGTGAAAAGCCAATCATAAAATACACATTTTTCACAGAAACTGTGAAAAATAAGCTTCAGTTTCCTGGGAAAAGGTAAAAAAGTTTAAGGAAAAGTGTGAAAAATGCAGATTTTATATTGGCTTTTCACTAATGTTACAATGAATATTATACGTGTAATGTTAGAAAGTTGTGCTGTATGAATTCTCTTAAGTAGTGTGTTAAATATAGCTTTAGGTTCTAACATAATGTTAAAATAGAGACTATGGATGTGGGGAAAGTTTTTTTTTTAGGGATGAGATACTCACTTTGAGGAACACCTAAATCTTCCAAAGAAAAGGAATTTTTGGCTTCTAATCAGAATAAACTCATTTCTTCAGGCCTTGCTCAGACTCAAAGAGGCCGTGGGGATTAAAGGAAGCAGTTGACATACAACAGACAGAGTTTCTTGTTTTAAATAAATGTATGCATAACCATGAAGGATATATGAATATGCAACAAGTTTATTGATTTAAGGTTATTCCTTTGTACACAAGTCATGTTTTTCATGCCTTAGTGTCCCAGAGCATCCAGATGTCTGTAATTCTTTTTTTTTTTATTGTCTTGTAATTGTCCTAACTCTAAACTTTATTACTGTAATTATATTATTATTTTCATAACCATTTTATTATTAATAAAGTTTTTAAATGTTAAAAACCAAGTGATTGGCGTTTCTGACAGTGGCAGATCCGTACAGGTGCCCTCAGCCTGTGGCCATTGGGTGTTATCCCATGCCAGCAGGCATTTTAACATGAGCACACTGATACCAGCTATTGCACTAACTTAATTAAACAGAAATTAAAACTGTATCTTTGTAGCAAACTTATTTTAACACCCCACACATAAAATCCATTGTAAAAAGCCAACATGGTAATTTGTATCTGTAATAGAAATGGAGGTGGAAATGGAAGGGGGGAATGGGAAGGGGGGAATGGGAAGGGGGGGAATGGGAAAGGGGGAATGGGAAAGGGGGAATGGGAAAGGGGGAAATGGAAGGTGAAAGTGGAAATGGAAAGTGGAAATGGAGTTTGAGGGCCAGGCTGCAAGCATCCAGGGAAATGCAAAGCTTGTGGAATTGCTCCCTTGTCCTATTTTGGGTGTTAAAGTCGTGGGATCACGGAATCACAGCACGGTGTGGGATGGAAGGGACACCAACGGATGGCAGGGACACCTCCCACTGGCCCAGGAGCTCCAGCCCCAGTGTCCAGCCTGGCCTTGGGCACCTCCAGGGATCCAGGGGCAGCCCCAGCTGCTCTGGGAATCCCATCCCAGCCCTCCCCACCCTCCCAGGGAACAATCCCTAACTCCCAGTATCCCATCCAGCCCAATCTCCCTGCTGGCAGTGGGACTTCGTTCCCCCTTCTCCTGGCACTCCCATTCCTCATGAACATTTCCTCTCCAGCTTCCAACACTGGAAGGTTTCTCTTCTCCAAAGTAATTTTTCTTGAGCTCCTTGCTCCAAAAGGTTCTTGCCATATTAGACAAACCCTTCAAACAGCTACTTTTTTACTGTAAAAAGCTCCAGTATGCCATCAAATGTCACCTTCTTGCACCAAAAATGACCTGAATCCTGTGTGCAGGAAATAATCAATTGCTTTCTGATTAAAAGATGCTCTTTTTGAATGAAATATGCCCTTAGTGAGGCACAACCACTTGTGATTTAGGCCAAAGGATTTATTTATTTACCTTTTCAAGGTGTAGAAAGCAAAGGGCTGAGTTTTACCCGAGGTGCTGAACAACACATTCACTTCCCAGCTACTGTGTCATGAATTTGATAAGGAACCATGGAGGAAAGTCAAAACAACCTCTCAAAACATGCAGGTATCATGTGAATCAGCTGCAAACTCCTCTTGGACACAAATCACTTCATTTCACTTGATACGTGTCTGTTCAGAGTCCTGCCAGAAGAGAAATGTGTTATTAAATGAATCATGTTCATCTGCTCTGAACTGGCTCCAATTCCTTGAAATCTGAGCATCTCAGTTTGCAACAGTGAAAAACAGGGTCTTAAATTACAAGGCTTCACTGGAAAAGCAGTTGTGCAACAAATTGGAGAGCTTCAGTGACAAACTCCAGTGTTTTTGTAAAAAATGTGAGCGTTTCAGTGACAAGCTCAAGGGTTTTTGAAAAAAAAAAAACAAACCTCAGGGACTTCAGTGAAAAACTCAAGGGTTTCTGTAAAAAATTCAAGAGTTTCAGTGACAAACTCAAGGATTTTGTAACAAACTCCATGGTTTCTGAGACAAACTCGAGGATTTCTGTGACAAACTTGAGGATTTCATTGCCACTTGAGGGAGCTCAAAGGTAATTGTCCTTGCAGAGCCACCTGGAATTTCCTAATTCCAGGGAGACAATTTCTATCCACAGGTCAAACGGATAACTTCGGGAAGCAAAGATAAATGGAGCCCGGGGTTGTGTTTATCTTGTTCTGTGTAACATCAGGCTCTTTATCAGAGAGCAGGAAATTACAGCCACGCATCCAGAATATATAACAGGAGGAAAAGACGCTCTTCCATTTGCCAATTCCCAATATTTGCCTTTCCCCCAATCACCCCCACCTTCACCTTGCTGTGGCTGAGATGCTCCTGTGAGCTCAGCCCTGATTCCCACATGCACTGCAGTGTTTATGTCCCAGATAAACACAGTGGATTGCTCTGAAACTCAGCCTTTAGAATGTTGATTAGAGATGCAGTTGCTGCCTCCCCATAAATCAGAGCACTTAAAGTGCCATATGATCCCAAATGCTGTGGTTAGCAGCAGCAAATGGAGGAAATGCTGTGTACAGGACTTTATGGGGGCCATAAAACCCTTGTGCCTGTGGCCTCCCCTCCTTGCACAGATCAATCAGGTGCAGGGAGCACTCAGGACAGCAAACACTCCCAGGAAACAAGGAGGAGTTTCAGGGTTCAGCTGCTCAGTTATTGCTGTCTTTGGGGAGACTGCAACGAAGCAGGAGCCGTGTTGCACATGTTAAATTGACTCCACCATCATTACCCCATTATCCATTTTCTGAAGGAAAAATCTCATGCTTCCTCCCTCCAAGGATGAAGGATGTGTCCCACACAGGCATGCAAACAGTTTTTAATCCCTCCATGTGCTGAGGAATGGGTTATTACAAACCTCTGTGTCTCACTCAAACGTTATTGGGCATTTATGCACCATCCCAAGACAAGCCTGACTCCTTCAAGGTGCTGGGAAGAGGCTGAGGAAGCTTTTTCTGCCCCATAAATCTCTCTGAGAGCAAAGATCCCGGCCTGAGGAAGCTCCTGTGGCTGGGAGGGATCCTGTGCCACAGCAAACAGCTCCTGCCTGTGCAGAGTCTCACTGAGCAGGGTGGGTTTATGGCTCCTTGTGCTAAATATTGTTCTGATCCTGCCTAAAATTCACAGCTCTTCTGTGACAGCTGCTGCCAGGCCCCTTCTCCAACAGCCAGCTCAGGTAATGGAGTGAAAACACTCCCTGGAGAGTGCAGGAGCACCATTAATGGTCTGTAGCTTCTCAGAAAATCCTCCATCAGAGGATTTTCTGATGTTCCAGGCACAGGCTGGACAGGGTGTGGAGCAGCCTGGTCCTCTGGAAGGTGTGGGATGAGATGATTTTAAGGTCTCTTCCCACCCAAACCAGTCTGGGAATTCAGAGCCTTGGGCTGTGGGGACTAGAACTGAATTTCTGGGTAACACTTGAACTTGGCTCCATGCACAGCTTTCCCTTTGTGCCTGTTTTCCTCAGGATACACAAATTCCTGGTGGATCTTAACAGTGCTAAGTTCTAAAAATCCCCAGGTTATTTGCTGGAAATACTGAATAACAGCTGCCCGAGAGCCACTGAGCATTTCCTGGATAGTTCATCTTGGAAAAGATGCCTTCTCAAAACATTTACACTTCTTAAAACTCTCCTGTTTCTTCCAGCAGGATGGACATGAAGGATTTCAGGACACGAAGGATGCCACAGGAATTTCAGGAGGCAGCTCTGATCCTGAATCAAATGCTGGAGGGTGGTGCCACCCAGGCTCAGTGTCCTGGGGGTGAAGGAAGCTCCCACCCTGGACAAGGCTCTGCTTCCCTCCCTGGCTGAAGGCCAAGGAGAGCTCATTGTCACCAGGGCTCCTCATCCCCTGGAGAAGGGAGTGCTGGCAATGGATGGGAGAGGGAACTGCTCCCACTGCCCCGGTGGCAGGGC